ACAGGACTGTGGCACTCACTATGAACTTCACAGTCTGAGCAGTTGTCAAGAATTTTGCCACTAGGTTTTGCCTCCCAAACTCCAGGGAAATTCAAGGAACCACTTGCCAAAGATGGTCTGGGAGTTTTAAATGGATATCAGCATTAAGCTGGAAATTCTTAACAAGCCCAGATCAATTTCCTAATCAAGAGGTACATTTGGGATATTTTAAATCTAAGTGTCACCTCTTGGGAACAGCACAGGCCCTGTACCTCTGAGACAGTTCAACGTTGTGCATTTTGCTCAGGAGCAGGGAAGGAGTCATAGCCTGCCGGGATGTGCAACACGGTGACTAGAGGAGCATGGCACTGCTCACTGAGCATCCCAGCCCAGATGGCACAGCTGAACCTGGCGGGCAGCAGGACTCCCGGCACCGCCGGCTGCACCAGTGCCTGCTCCCACGCTGTCCACAGCACAGCTGCCTCATGTCCCCTCCTCTCCCTATCCCCCAGAGGACAACACTGTATCCGTGGTCCCCTGGCTACCAACGTGGCCCCTCTGTCAGGGGTTCCCTGGCTCACTGGTCAGCTCTGTTTGAATCAAGGCATGAGAATTTCTCCTTCGTTCGCACAATCATCTTGCCTTGCCCCCCCACCCCGGCCATCAATATCCTCCTTCCCTGCCTCCCTCCTCCTTCCCGCCACCTCCCCCTTCTCTCGCTGGAACTTCCCTGCAGCTGCAGAGCTGGCCAGACAATCGGGTGTTTTAGAGAAATACATTTTTGGGCTAATTTGCCATGCATAAGTGTTTCTCTTACCCTTTAAAGGCAGGGAACAAAGAGCACATTCTCTGGGAGCTCTGCCCTGTTGTGAGCAGCCCTGCAGCTGTACAGCACTGTGCTACCCTCCACTCTCCTGCTCCACTCTCTGCTAACTGTGCAAAGAGATGGGGCTCTGCTTCTCCCCGGGACCACAACATCTCCAATCCGTCACTACACATTTCTTTCTGCTTTGTATTTTTTTTTAAAGCAGAGCCAGAACAAGTGGGGAGGGAAGGGATTTGGCAGCACTGTCACCTAGACTGATTTGCCAGATCCTCCAGGTAAAGTCTTTTATCTTGAGATGTTGTTTATTTAGAAACAGTCTTAATTTTCCTTTATTTGGGGCTTAATCCTGTGTCCAAGTGAAGTATTTATTATATCCCCTTGATAAGTAACACTGGGGCAATGTGTTATACACACCATATTAGAATGCATGAAATTTTGTCCTATCAAGAAAACCTAGTCAAAATGCAAGTCCTGTGAGAGGTTTACAGGTTCTATTTCTCACTTCAAACACTGATAGCCATCCTTGTCCACCTCTGGAACTGTTCAAGGTCAGGTTATGTGGGGTTTTGAGCAACCTTGTCTACTGGGGTGGCATCCCTGTCCATGGCGGAGAGGTTGGAAATAGAGGATTTTTAGGGTCCCTTCCAAACCAACCGTTCTATGATTCTATGATTCCTGACTGGGAGGATTTTCCTTTTTAAGGCTAAGATGCTGAGTGATGAACAGATTTGGCCTGGTGCATTAGACTGGGGAGAAGACTCAGATGTTCTGGCATGAATCACTCACAGGTTGTGGGAGAAGGAGATACCCTGGAGCAGCTGGACACTGAGGATTTTTGTCACTTTTTGAGAATTCCATTTCAGCACTTGCTGAATAATCTTCTTCCTATCCATAGAAAGCTGCCCAGTAAACTGCTTCCCAAGTGGAGTGATAGGTTCTGATATAAGCAAAACAAGGCTTTTAAACCAGCCACAGTAAACTCACTCACACCATTTTAGCAGCACTGTATCTAGGCAAATTCTTTCCATCAGCCCACTCCCATCTGCTGTAAATATTAACTCAGTCCAAACCAGGCCCATTTTCAGATCCAAATTCAACACAGTCTAAGGCAAACCCAGTCAAATCTAGCCTACATAGAACATGCCCATCACCTTGCTCCCTATGGTTTTGTGGGAGGAGAGGTTCGGAGAGGTTTGGAGAGGTTTGGAGAGGAGAGGAGAGGTTTGGAGAGGAGAGGAGAGGAGAGGTTCGGAGAGGAGAGGAGGTCAGGAAAAGCCAGCTTGGAGGAAATGATAGCTAGAGAATTGTATGGTATAAGAAGGTGTAATCAACAGCACCACCCAAGTGCTAGGACAGTGGGACAGGTTGAGCCTTACCTAGCACAGTCCAATAAATCTCTCCATTTCTTCCTGACTCTATGAGCTCTTTGCACTCAACAACGTTGGTAGCCATATGCACCCAGGACCTAGGAGGCTGTGAATGGAGACAAGGCTCAAAGATGTGCATTAATTGACAGTGTAGTAGCACTTGCTCTACACAGAACACCACCTGCTTGTAGCTCAGCTGAGGTCTCAATGCTCTGAGACTCCTGCCTTGCTGTGCTACTGTGAATGAGTTGTAGGAGGTAGCAGTGGAGAACTTCAAGTTTTTTAGTTTTCAAACCTCATTTCAAACTCCAGAACTCTCTCTTCTGACCTTACAGTAACTCCAGTAAGTGCCAATCAGGTATTAAAACCATAGTGCCAAGAAAAAGTCAATTTTTGCCAGACTCACACCTGCAATTGTGAAAATCCCATTGAGCAATGAGTTTAATCATATTTAGTATCCCCTCTGGGTAAATGTCCTCCAATCCCTCTAGGAGACTGAATTTGAACATTTCCCTGGCAGGACTGCAGGGGACATTACACAGCGCAGGTGGTCTAAGTAGCACAGATAGGTTGGACTCTAAGACCAAGTGCCAACACAAACACCCAAAAGCCCTGGATGAGGTTAGCAGGAGCAAAATTCAGCTCCAGCCTTTGTGGTTACCATCTCAGTAAGACAGAGGGAGAGATAGAAAGGAAAGGGAGGGAGAAGGTCAGATGGTGGGGGAGGGCTGGGAGCCTGCAGATTTCTGTTGCCACATGATTTTCCTGGTTGTTTTCAAACCGCTGCTCTAACAGACACACACGAGTCCCATGTGATCGCTTATTTACGAAAGCACAGTTGTAAAGCTGTGTGCATCTCACATCCGCTCAGAGCCCACCTGACTGCGGGCTCCACAGGCAGCCACCGCATCCTCCCCATCTGCACCATCAGGCCAAGGGGGATGGGTGACCCATGATGAGTGGACACTGCTCTTGACCTTGTCAGACAATGAAGCAGAGAGGAGAACTGCCTTTCCATTTCCAGACTGCTCTTTGCACCCCTTTGCCTGGCACTGTGTTAGGAGGCTCCAGAGGTAGGGTGTTGTCCCTTCTGTACTGTTATAAGTAGAAAAAGCTTTTCTTTCAGATCTGTCTGTCTTGCTTCTTCTGTTTTGTAGAGCACCCAGAAGCAAGCTCGTATTCAAACCACCACAGCCTATGCCTATATCCACCATCTTCATATAGGTGCAGATCCTGTTTCCTTGGGTAGAACTTTTTCTGGTACCATCATCACAAAAGTCTCCTTTCATCTGAAGATCCACTCAATAAAAGAGGAAATCTCCTTATAAGGAACAGGGAGGAGGTGAAGGGAGAGAGTTCACTATTAAATAAAGATGGTTGTTTCTTTGGAAATGGAGGATTTGGCTTATCTTCAATTCATTTGTATAGAGAAACCCTAACTTCAGTAAAATTGTTCTCAGCCAAAGGGAGGACTAAGACATGAACAAGAGAGATGAAATGTGTGAGAACAGACGTTTTGAAGGCCAGCAATAGAAACTGAATTCACAGAGGCCATGATGGGACAAGATTATTCTGCAGTAAACCATTTATTTTTTGGGTGGTGTTTTTCTTACTCCACAGTCCTAGCTGCCAGCATCCCTAAGAAAAACGTCAATGGGAAAGAGTAATCATTTCATATGCTGCAAAACCCCCTACAGTGATCTTTTCCAAAACCAAGGCTTCTATGAAGAAAGGACATCTGACATTTTAAAACTTTGGTAGGGTCAAACCACCCAACATCATCCCTACCTCCTTTTCCCAGACAACCAAACCTTGTTTTAAATTGCCCAAGAGCCAAGACTGCTACCTCGCCACACAGATTACGCCTCCCATGGCCATGCCTCTTTCCCTCATGCTCAGTAAATCGCCTCCATGAAGGGTTAATTCAACCAAGGCCTTTTACTCCAAGTTGTTTTCCAAGTAGCTGAGAGAATAGGTCTCTTGTTACAAACATGGCTTCTGGGCATTTGGTGATGCTTTCCCTTTTCTCTCTCTCATTACTACAAAAGGATCTTTTGTTCTCATCTCTCTGTCTCATTTACTCTCCCCCACCCTGCTCTCGCCTCTTCCCTCCATTGGCTGCCAAGTGACTAAGGAATGGCAAAAAATGGCCATAGCTTGGTCATGGCAAATATTTCTTCCCTTATTATCTGATAGAGACCTTGAGCATCTCTGTGAAGGGCCCTCTGCCTTCCCCCGGGCTTTTCTTAGACGTGGGGAAAAATGAGTCAGACACAACACGGCAGGATATAAGTTGAATCAGCCCAACATGCTAATGGAAATGTCTTGTGAATTGAGTCACGGTGTCTGCTTCAAGAAAATTAAATGATAGGGACCGAGAGCTGGCAGGAGTCGAGTGGCAGCTTCAGCAGCTCTAGATTTTTATGGGAACTCGGCATTTATTAAAAAATACATGGGAGGCACAAAAAAGTCACTTTCTTGCCTCCACGTTTACTGATTCAGCTGTTTGTAAGCTGGAGCCATCACTCTTTGTTGGATGGGTTGTAATGTTCCGATGGTTTCTCTGCACTATTGCTGTAAATCTTCTTGTGCATGACCTACCACAGAAAAGTTGTGGCAAATCCCCAGGAACATTGTCTTCCCACACCCCATTGAAATTATACCTCAGGCATTCCCATAGGCATCCTTCTAGCTACAGTCCCCCTGCACATGCTGCTCCACTGAGTCACCTCACACATACACAGATATGCATAAGATCACATGACACCAAAGTCACTGCAACTTCTACAGTGACCTTTCTGCAACAGAAACAATTCCTTAGCCACATTCCCACCTCCCTGCCTTTTACAGCATTTGGGTATATACTTCACTGATACTGTCTTCTGCAAAAAATAAAATTCCTCAGTTTCACCTGAAGCAAATCCTCTTGCCTTTCTGCTCACCTTCTCTACTCACCCTCTTGACTCCTCTGACCACCCTTTGTCCTGAGTTCATTTCAGTCCATGTCATGCTTTAGGTGAACACAGCATATGCTGCTCGGGTCCATCTGCCAAGCTTTCTGCACTCTTCTCCCATTCAGTGCCTTAACTGTTTTGGAAGGTCCTAGAAACAATAATGAAATTTCAGCCTTAGCAACGTCCCGCACACGCAAATACAAAGCTGTGGACGTAAGGCGTTATGCGGAGAAATTTTACTCCTGTAGCGAAGGGGAATGGACTATACAGATAAAAGGGCCATTATATTCCCACATTAGAAGGACTTCTTGTCTGGTGGATTTTAACCAAGCTGGTTAAAACATCATGAAAACGATGCACTGACCAACTCTTTATATTCATATGACTCTGTCCACAACAAAGATTTGTGCTTAGTCAGACATATCTGTTCTGAAACAGCATGCAGAGCAGCTTTCACTGTAAAGCCTCAAACTCATCCAATGTGTAACAATTAAGGAATATATAATAATCCTTCTTCCTGCCTCCTGGCTTGATAGCATCTGAATGAATCCCAACATAGATCCTTACTGCAATCCCAGCTGTGCCCCACCACTCCCACAGTAGCTCTATGTACAGAGTGCTTGCCAGGAGTGTGCAGTCAGCCTTAGTAGATAAACAATGATCATCTCCATCACAAAGGACAACTGAAGGACCCTGAGATGAAGAATTTTACTCTTGTCAAAAAACCAAGTCTCTGGAAGATCCAGAAACTTGTTAATTCAAATGTTGTGCATCTAATGCTACAAACATAAACCTCCCCACCAAGCATTTCCCCTGATGAAGCCATGCATTGCTGGATCCTCTTGGAAACCCCCATTAAGCAACACTGAAACTTTAAGGAAAAGGTTTTCCTTCTCCCTGGTTTCAATTCTCCTTCACAGGGTGGGATCCCACTCTCCCCAAGTGAACACTACTACAGTCAAAGGCATTACGCTGTCTAGAGAGCCCTGTCAGGGTCATCTTTGCACCCCATGGAGACCAAGAGGTCAGCTGTTGAAGTCTCTTGGAAAAAAAATCTACCACCATCTCTTTCACAGATGAGAAGCCTAAGGATTATGGATTCTTACTCAGATAATTTTGGATGAATCAAGAAAAGAGAGGAAGGATAGCTAGATGGCTAAATAAAGCCAATGAGATCACATGTTCTGCTTTTTTATCTGCTTTTCTCTTTCTGCTTTTGGACAACAAAGCTTTCTTTGATACAGAAGAAGAGGGGGTAGGGAGGGTGGGGAGAGGGGGTGCCAGAGTCACCCCAATGGCCCCTGGTCACTTATCCACGCTCCTTAATATGATGTTCCCACTGACAGAGACAGAAAAAAACAATGATCTCATGATTCCAGAAACGATTCACGCAAACAACCCTGGGACATCGGGGTGAAGGGGACAGAAAAGAGGGGTAGAAGATGAGTGAGAATTAAGGCGAGAAAGGGAGAAGAAAGGTTAGAAGTAGTAGGGAGAGGGTACGTGGGAATCAGGACCTTGGAGGGCAACTGTGAATGGAGGTAGACTGGAGGTCACAATCCAAAAGAGAATGCGTAGAGGGATTTTAGAGAAAAGGAGAAGAAAGAGGAGTCATGAGACCAAGGATAACAAGACTAGTGGAAGAAGGTTAGGTGTGACATTGTATGGCAGGACTGAGGGAAGGTCAGGGTAGAGTTGACTGAGTTGTCAAAATGTAGGAAAAGGGAGCCTGGGCTCAGAGGCGGTGTGGTGGGATGATGAACAGGGATGGATATGACAGTGAGAAGGAAAGGAGGGGGAAATACCTAGGGGTTAGGAGCAGAAGAGTTAAGATTTGCTGAAACTTGCTACTTCTGCATTCAGCTACACAAAACCAGGTCACCAAATCTGCCAAGAGAATAATCCTGGTCTCTCTCCATCCCAGAGCCAGCAGATGCCAGAGAGATTTATTACCTGAGGCATTCAGCCGTGTCCAAAGGAGGCAGTGGTGAGGCAGTGTGGCTGAAGACAGGCAGTCAGTCTGGTTTCCACTTAAGTTGGCTGATCTCTCTGCAGGAGACCTTCACACCTACAGAGGGGAGTATTACACCTCACCTGCCAGCAGCCATTTCCTTCAGCTTTCTCCCTTTCCTTCCCTCACATCTACTTGTTCCTCCTTCCCTTCTTCCCTCCCTCCATCCTTCCTCACCACCTTTCCACAGAGAGACAAGAGCTCAGCACAGTTGGCAGAAGACATCCCACTTTCTTCTCCATTCCCCCAGGGGACTGCTACCCCAGTCCCACTTATCCCAAACCAGTGAAGCAGCCAGGGCCTCAGAGGAGACTTCTGAGCCCATAGGGCTCCTGATGGAGCTGGGACAAAGAGTGGGATGAAAGGCTGGGGAAACAACTAAAAGAAAAAGTGTCTCCTGCAACAAGCTGCCATCTCCATGTCTCACAGCTCTCCCCAACACTGGTCTGTCCCAGGGGCTCATCACATCTCCCCCTTCTCTGTCTGCTCTGTGGCAGCTAATCGGTGACCCACTGACAGTCTCTGTCCATCACTTGTCTCTGCACACAATGGGGTAATTAAACCCTGACCCTGGGCTCCTTTTATCCATTTCCTCTGTACAGTCACTCCCCAAAATGGCAGAGGGGAGGGCCTGCTGTGGAGGCTCCTGCCCCAGTCTCCAGCTGTAATGAAGATGTAAAGCATAGGAAGGACTTTCTGTGAAAAAGAAAGATGCTGAAGGGGCTGCAAAAGAGGCATTGACTAGTACAAGGTGCTGAGCTCTGCTGACCTACCTCCATCAGGCAAGGCTTTTGTAAATCTTTAGTTCTTTATCATCATGCCCACAGGTTGTCCAGCATCCTTCCCCTGCCCAAGCATATCTACAGAAAACCCACCACTCCTCTGAATGTCCTCACAGCAGTGCCTGGTGTGGTGCCCAGCTCAGGTCTAGCAAAGCTTTCCAGGAGCCTCAGTATACCCAACCCTGGGCTTGTTCCTCCACAATACCTCCACAATGCAAAGCTCTGCACTCTCTGGTGTGAACCCATTGCCTCCACTCAGACTAAGCCCAGTGCCTCAGGCCTGACACTTCGCTTTTTCCTCATGAAACACCTGCAGAAGGGCAGAGGGAGTTCTTGGTGACAGGGTGCATCCCATGGAGTACAATGGATGGACACAGGAGCTGGTCAGGACAAGGTGACAACATCACCTCCACAGCAGGAATCACAAAATGCTAGGGAGGAGGTCTTTTTTTTTTTTTTTTACTTTCTTTCTCTTTCTGCTTTCAGGAACTCCACAAAATTTATTACCCAGATGCAGACTCTGCTTCCTCCTCCCTACCCCGAGTAGGGAAGCTGCCTCCCTCCCACACATGAGCGAGAAGGGCTGGGGAACGGCATGACGGGTAAAGCAGTGCCCCTGAACAATTAAGCACTGTCTCAGGCATTGCACACCCTTGTCCCGGGAACAAAAGAGTCACACACAAGAGACCTGACTGTGAAGCCTCCATCCGCTTTCATCACTGACCCCCAGGGCTATCAGGGCACAAGGTCAGCCCACTTAAACTCCAAACTCAGCCAGAAATAGAGCTGGGAAGTGGGCATGGGTGGCCAACTGCAGGGGTCTCCAACCATTTGAGGGGTTCTTTGACTGAGCCATTTCATTTCATCAAAGACACATTTTTTTCTGGAAGGAAAATGGAGAGCAGTGGGCGTGAAGGGAGTAAGGGGGAGGCAGGGTGTTCACCATGAATTATGACCACTCTCAACAAGAGTCTTTTACATTGCAGAGGTGAGGAGAGGATGGAGTAATTGGGCATGTTAGACCCATGCATAAAGAGGGCAAGTCTCTGCCTGTTTCCCACCCTTCACTCCACCAGTGCTCATGAGATGTGGTCCCCCATATGCCCTGTCGCCATTCCATTGTGGAGCTCAACCCCTCAAGGGCTCATCCCAAGGATCACAAGGTTTGATAGCACCCTGACAGACCAGCAGTGACCCCGGGCTGTGCAACAGTGTGTGGTCATGCCCCTGGTATAGAAAGGCTGAAAGCTGCCTTACGAATAAAAACCCATCAACCAAGCCAGGGCTCATGCTTTCCACCTGCAAGGTCTCAGAAAACCTATTAAGCTTTAAGTTGCTGGTTTTTTCAGGTTGCAAATACTGCCTTTGCAAGTAATGCTTTCATAGAGGTAACAGTTGTACCTTCCGGGGGTCAGCACTGAGCAGTGTTTAGCAGTGGGTAAGAACAGATGCTCCTGAGATCTATCTCTTTGGCTAGGAGGAGAAATCTGTGGGGTACTGAAACGTGTTTGGTGCATGTGGAAATGCCACAGAGCGTTGTCCGTTTCACCCGACTTCCCTCTGGGTAAATCTCTGAGAATCTTAAATGCAAGAAATTTCAGAGGAAGGAAAATTAAAACACCTGGAGAAAGCAGTCTCCTATTCCACCTCATTAAGGCTGTCTCCCACCTGCACCACAGAGAGGCCACTGCAGGTGTTTGGAGCACCCAGCAGAAGTGGGGCAGGGATAGGGCAGGTAGGCTGTGGAGTGGTGGGCAGGGAATAAAATCCTCACACTCACTGAAAGTTGCCTCCAAAATGGACAACATGGCTCAAGGGACAGCAATCAAGGAGGATGTTAGCTCAGAGTTAGTTGTGTTGACACTGAAAACAGTAGCAGAAAAGCAGCCAGAAACATGAGATTCAGCACAGCCCCAGTACACAGAAATGCATCTGAGTGCCAAGAAGCTAGCCAGTCATGCAACGTGTGATCTGCTTGCAGACTCCTTATTACACATGATGAAAGACAAGCAGAAGGGAGTTTTAACTCTCAAACTTTTCATGGATTGTGTATTTGGGGGTGGAAAAACGTCTGTACGTGCAAACAGCACTCTTGATCCAAGCTGTATTGGTAAACTGTAAGGAGTGAGCCCAATTTTCAGGAAAAAGCTGCATTTCACATTTTTTATGCAATTACTCAGACCTATTCTTGAAAATTAACAGATTCCTGGGATTTTTTTTTACAGGTTGGCTAGCCTTATTTTTTTGGATGCTAGGTAACCATTTTCATCAGTAATTCATTATTTATTCCCTTTGGAGGAGGCAATCAGCTGGATTTCTAATATTGAGACAGACATGGCTTTAGGGCCCATGCGGAGTCATTCTCCATCTCACACAAAGAGAATCCAATCGATCTTGGACACATTGGGGCAGCTGTGCACAAAAGGCAGGGTCAGTCAGCACACACATACAAAGGCCAACGTTCAGGGACGTACTGAAGGACATGCACAACGCGCACACATCACTGGAAGAGCACAAAAGCAAGGCACATCAGACCTACAGGTTTTGGCCTTGTCAGTGTCAACAAGTCTGGTTTTTCACCTCGGGCCAGTACTGTGTATTGTCTTTCTTTCTAATGGCAGGAGCTGCCAGCAAAGGAGACATTCACTGCTCGTTCTTCTCCCTTGCAGCTCTAGGAGCAGAAGTGGATGGCAGGAGAAATGAGGTTCACAACTTCTTTTAACCAGACTGTTGTCCAGCCATGCACAAGGCCCTGAACAATCCCCTTGGGCACAAGCAAATTATTTACGTTATGCAGGTGTTCTTCTAGATGCGGGGGGAAACTCTTTTTACTCTATTTCTCCTTGCAGTAAAATAGGAGAAATATCCCAACTTAGCAAACCCTGAATCCAGGCCCCTTCCTGCAGCAGCAGTTCCGGGAAGTGCCCACACGGTGGCGATGCCCCCTTAGAAATGGAACGCAGCTGGTGGCCAGGGGAGCGACCCTGCAAAGTCCACGGGAGACAGCGCAGGGACAGCGCGGGACAGGCGGATCCCGCCGCACCGAACAGTCCTGCTGGGGCATGGGACGGACAGCAGGCTCGAGTTGTGCCTCTGCCGACGATCTGCCGTGTGGCGTTTGCTTAATGAGCTCTCGTCTATATTAGCTGTCAGCTCTGGGGAGGGTTCTGCAGAGTGACCTCTGCTTGTGTTGCAGGGTCTCTCTCAGGACCACAGCATGGCAGACTCTGACCAATTAAATTTTCACTGTATTTAGGGATGGATATTCCACCACCTCTCTGGGCTGATATAAGAGTGTTTACCCACCGTCACAGTGATTTCCCCCCCCCCCCTTTTATTGTACTGTAATTCCATCTTACAACTTGCAACCCCTGCCTCTTGTGTTTTGCTATGCAAAAGCTCTGGGAAGAGGCTGGTTCTGTCTTTCCTGTATCATCCTCAGCCACAGTCAAGCGCTGTTGCACTGCTGAGTCCCAGTGAGCTCCTCATGCAGAGATCAGGGCCTGGCCCATCAATTCTAGAGCTTCACTGATGTAAAACTCCTGTCAGTGGCCAGGGTCAGGATGTCAGTCTCTTCTCTTCACAGAGCTCCCACCTGAAGGACTGCATTTCTCATTCAGCTTCTCTTCATAAATAAATCACTTCTTAGACACAGGACTTCAAAATGATTATTCGCAACATGCTCTTGCCCTTGTACTCCAGCATTGTGGGTGGCTTCAGCTGGTTTTTTGATGTATGCAGAAAAGAGGCTCATGGGGCTGCACACAGCAAACACTAACCACCCTCTCAGACAGCAAGAGAGGTCATCATCGTCAGCCAGTCCTTGTTCCTAGTCATGGAGGTGTTTCCAGTTCAAAAAGTTCAGTATTGGGGGGGGTTGATCTGTGACAGTGAGTTGGGTTTGGCAGCCTGGTAATTGCTCAGAAGCAGCAGTGGCTGGAAGAGATGACACATAATGCAACAAGGCAACCACATGCTTCTGGGAAATCAAAGTATTCTCCCAGTTTTGGTGCTGTCTTGATGGAGGCAGAAAAACCCCTGACTACTACCCCCGCACACACCCCAGAGGAGAAAAATGTGGGATCCTGCCACCCACATGGAATGCAGTGGTTTTCATATGGCTGTGCTGACTGGCTCCCACATCACTGCTTCCATAGGTCACCGTGGGCCTGTCAGCAGTAGGGGTGATTGTGCTAACCAGTTTCATGGAATCACAGAATAAATTAGGTTGGAAAAGACCCCTGAGATCATCGAGTCCAACCTATGAGTCAACACCACCATGGCACTTAGTGCCATTTCCAGTCTTTCTTTGAACACCTCCAGGGATGGTGACTCCACCACCTCCCTTGGCAGTCCAGTCCATTCCAAAGTCTAATCACCTTTTCTGTGAAGAAATTCCACCTAATGTCCAACCTAAATCTCCCCTGGCACAGCTTGAGGCTATGTCCTCTTGTCCTATCGCTGGTTGCCTGGGAGAAGAGGCTGAGCCCCACCTGACTACAGCCTTCCGTCAGGTAGTTGTAAAGAGTGATGAGGTCTCCCCTGAGCCTCCTTTTCTCCAGACTAAACAACCCTAGCTCCTCATAAGACTTGTGCTCCAGACCCTTCACCAGCTTCGTTGCCCTTCTCTGGACACACTCCAGCACTTCAATATCTTTCTTGAACTGAGGGGCCCAGGACTGGACACAAGATTCAAGGTGTGGCCTCACCAGTGCCAGTACAGGGGAAGAATCACTTCCCTGGTCCTGCTGACCACACTATTTCCGATACAGGCCAGGATGCCATTGGCCTTCTTGGCCACCTGGGCACACTGCTGGCTCATGTTCAGCCAGCTGTGAACCAGCATCCCCAGGTCCTTTTCCGCTGGAAAGATTTCCAACCACTCTGTCCCCAGCCTGTAGCACTGCAGGGGGTTGTTGGGAGCCAAAGTGTAGGACCTGGCACTTGGTCTTGTTGAACCTCAGAGCTCTTTGTGTCCCTGTTGTCACTGAATCATCAGTCCAGGACATGTTCACATTCACAAACGTCTTTCTGACCCAGCCAGCACCAGGTGTTAGTGTGGGGTACATCACCTTCCAGAGGTAAAAGCTCTCTTGTTTTGGCAAGTGGCAAGTGCAAGACAGTGTGTTTTCCTCGAGATGAGCACACTTTGGATGCCCCTCCTGGTGCTGGCATCCAAAGTGACATCGTGGTGATGCCACAGTCCACTAAAAACACCTTCCCATAACTGCTGTGCCACAAAACCTGCTCAACTCCGCAGTTCCCATCCCCTTCTGCTACTGCTGCCGCAGCCGGGGCAGCTCCGGCTCGGCTCCTCACTGAGCCCGAGGGCAACGCTGAAGGGAGGGAGGGAGGAAGGAATGGAGGAAGGGAGAAAGAGGGTAAGGAAGGAAGGGAGGGAGGGGGAAGGAAGGAAGGGAGGGAAGGGGAGGAGAGAAGGAGGGAAGAAAGAAAGAAAGAAAAGAAAAAAGGGAGGGAGAGGGAAAGAAAGGAAAGAAAGGAAGGGAGAAAGAGAGGGAGGGCAGGAAAGAAGGAAAGAAGGAAAGAAGGAAGGGAGGGAGGGAGAGAGGGAGGAAGGGAGAGAGGGAGGAAGGAAGGAAGCGAGGGAGGGAGGGAGAGAGGGAGGGAGAGTGGAACGGGGGCGCCGCTCCCAAGATGGCGGCAGGCGCGCGGCGGTGCCAGTCCCCATGGCAACGGGGAGAGCGCGCGCGCAGAGGGTGGGGCTTCGTCGCGCGGTTCGCGCGGCCCCGGCGGTGACGTGTCGGCGGAGTCTGACGGCGCCGCGCGGCCGCTTCCGGTGAGCTCGGGTCCCTCAGCGACGCCCCCCGCGGGTGCCCCGGGACGGTCCCTGTGGGGCGAGCGGGGGTCCTGCGACCCCCCTTTCCCCGGCCGGGCCAGTGCCCCGGGGCCCTCCCCTGCCCCGGGTCCGTGCGCTGCGGCCGCCGGGAAGGATGCGGCACGGAGGGCTGCCGGTGAAGCCCTCACCCCTTGGGGTCGGATGTGGTGCAGTTAGGAGGCCACAAGCAAAGGCTGTCTGCTAATTGCTGCCCGAATATAAATGGGAAACGAAATGGTGTTTGTGCACGGGAAAATAATGAGGCTTTTCTGCGAAAAGCTTAGCGCGGCCTCCCGCTACAGGAGGTGAACGTCAAAAAGTGGCATGACCGGCTGCGAAGTCAGGAACCACATGGAGATGTGTGATGGATGTAGGAGATAGAACTGTAAATGTCTTTAGCAGCCGTGGTGCAGGTCGAACGTGGGAAGAAGCAGCTTCCAGAAAGGACCACCTTTTGTTCTGTGCTTTGGAAATGCTGCATGTGTGTCAGGTTTTTTTTTAAACATGCGGGGTTTGAAACATGCAGCATTCAAACTCGAGGACTTTCTCCTGTCTTATGCAGAGCAGAGAACCAGAGACATTTGACATGTTTGTCATCTTTGATATAAGAGCAGAGACCGGGATGTGGCGTTCAGAAAAAAAAACAAACAAGGAGAAGGCAGTCAATAAGGGTGACAGATTGGTTCTCCGCAGTTTTCTATTGAGATCACTCATTTATTGGGGTTTATTCTGTTCTTTCTTCCCAGGGAGTTTGAAATAAGCAGCATCAGACAAACAAGTTCCACTTAACCAGAACAATGTTTGCAGATTTGGACTATGATATTGAGGAAGATAAGCTGTGAGTATTTCACTTGTCTTTTCCCGTTTTTTCTAACAATAGAAATAGTCTTTGCAGCCAAGACCTAACAAGAGTTGATAAATTTACCTGCTCCTGTCAGTGTGTGCTGCACGTCATACTTGCTGTTCAGTCCTGGTTTCTTGCTCCGTCTGGAGATTGGGGATGAGGCATCACTGTGCTGGTGAGCAAAGGAGAAAGTTTGTGTTGCTCTGCAATGGCTGCCTTGCATTTCTGATTGCAAAGCAGTGCTGACAGGTCTTCTGTAAATTACTGGCCTTAGCCAGAGAAAAAAACACTTACAATAGAGGAAAGATAACAAGAGGCAAGAATAAGTGGAAACTCCGGAGTCCTTTGGTCTATAAAGGGGAGAACACTGTCATTTCCTAAGCAAGTAAAAGGTTTGATGAGATTAGCAATTAATTTAACATTGAGCACTTGATTTGCATCTCATTTATGCTGTGTAAGTTTTCATCTCGCTCCAGCACTAAATGATAGTGTTTCCTCAGTGCCTAGCAATGCATGAGGGTGTCTCTCCCACATCTAATCCTTGCATGAAGTCCCAAAAAAGATAGCCCAGGAGGTGTTCGTGCTAGTCAATGCTGATAGACTCTGTGACAGAGATGAAGGGATGAATTCAAATGTGCAGTGCCCGTTATGTTTTTGGTTTGTATCAACTCAGATAAAGGAGTTGTTTCGTACACAGGCAGCTCTGCCTATGTGTTCATTTATTCCTTTTTCCTTCTAGGGGCATCCCCACTGTACCTGGGACAGTGACCCTGAAGAAGGACTCTCAGAACCTGATTGGAATCAGCATTGGGGGAGGAGCACAGTACTGCCCCTGTCTCTACATTGTCCAGGTGGGCACTCGGGGAGGAGGAATAAACCATCTTTGTTGGCCTGAGAGATGGGAAGCGTGGAGAAACCTATGCTGTATGTTTTTATCACAGTGGGAGATGTCTCACTTTGCAGTGAATAAGATTTCCTTATCCTAGTACCTAATAGGTGTGGAAGAATTAAATTAAGGCTTCTGGAGTTATCCTGCTCTTTGGACAGCACGTTAGAATTCACAGGGGAACAGTGTGACATTCTCAACATAGGAAATCAAACACTTGAGGAGGTGTAACCTGGAGGCGAGAACTTCCTGAGATGATCGACCCACCTCTTAGCTCGGGAAGGGGGAAAACTGCGGCTTCACCATGAACAAAGTACAACTAAATCAAATAGGAGGAATGTAATTGTTCGGGCTTCACTCTTTAGCCCTGCATTCACCTTTCTCTTTCTCTTGATTCCAGACTCTCTTTTTGTCCTCTTTCTCCTCTCTGCTAGGTGTTTGATAACACTCCAGCAGCCTTAGATGGCACCGTAGCAGCTGGCGATGAAATCACAGGAGTGAATGGGAAGTCTGTCAAAGGGAAGACCAAGGTGGAGGTGGCCAAGATGATACAGATGGTGAAGGTGAGAGGTAGGAGGGGGCCACTGGAGCTTCTGGGTTGTAGTTGACAGTTTATTGTCCTTGGGTTAAGGAAGCCACTGCTACTTGCTTCCAGCACAGAAGTCTTGGATTTGTTCTTTTACAGGGAGAAGTGACAATACACTACAACAAGCTTCAGGCTGACCCAAAGCAGGGCAAGTCTTTGGATATTGGTAAGACTGGTTCCTCTCACTCTACAGTGTTAAAATGATGGGGAGGGATGAAAAATTGGTCCCAGCTAAAACCAAAGTTTTCCTGTGTCCTTTCTTGCTCTTGACTCAGTTGTTTTCAAATGGATACTGTCAAAGAGAATTACAGCCTTAAAAAAATCCATTCCTAACTTCTTGAGATAGTCTTGAAAGTTAAGTCGAGGCTTGACTGTTGTTGTGGGAAGCTTGTTTTTCTGTGCTGTGTTTAGCATGGATGATGAATCTCAACTGCATAATTTGATTAATTTATTTTTAATACATGTGACCTATGCTGATTTATTAAGATTTTTAGCTGTACACAGCAATGTGTCAATCGAAAAACACTGGCAATTTCTCAGCTTGGAGAACAGTGATGAAATACCTATCTACACTGAGTTTTGTACAAACATAGATTTTGTGGGAGAAGGGGGAGCCTTTATTGATAAAACAAAGTGTTTGTTTTGAACTAAGCCTACACAGCTGTCTCTCACTTTCCAAAAAAATCCATCTCTTTTGTTTGTTTTCATTTCTTTTCATGGTGATTATGGTGCTAATGAATTGACAGGGATTCAGGAAAATCCTGAGTAGTGAGATGGACTTCTGAGGAAACAGAAGTGTGGTGAAAATATGGAATTTTCCGGAGATGCTGAACACTGTGGCTTAAGTTGAGTTCTTGGGATCTGCAGGCACCGCAAGTTTGCCTCTAAAGTTTGATGAGTCATCTGATGCCAAAGAGGGTATAACTGCCTCTAGTAATTTGCAGGGTATGATTTGCACCATTACATCAAGAGGTGATGAAAAGGTTTAACTAGGATTCAAAAGATAAAAGTAAGGAAAGGGGCAACACTGAGAATGAAATCTTGTTTATCTTGCTTTCAGCCTCGTCTCCTCATTTCAGTTTGAGTAATACAGTGGGTAGCACAAGCAAAGTTGGGTTCCAAATATCACGTTACGTTGCTGATAGCAAAGTGATTGATTGGAATAGTCTTCCAGAAGAATTGCTGCAGCTCTATTGATTGAGGTATATAGGATGTGAGAGCAGAACAAATAGGCAGGTTAGAAGATGTGTTATGCATGGCTGGACCAGAATGTCCTGTTTCTATGGTGTTCTCTTTCTACTTGCCACCTCAATACTGGGTTAAGTGCAGTTTTATCCAGTGCCTGGGAAACCAGTGAAGTGTGCTAGTGAGCTTTTCATGTCTGCAGAAATGACCCTGATCCTGGTTTGCAACTCTTTTTTGGCCTTTAGTATTGAAGAAGGTAAAGCATCGACTGGTGGAGAACATGAGCTCAGGCACAGCAGATGCCCTGGGGTTAAGCCGAGCCATACTTTGCAATGGTAAGTGTTGTCCAGGAGGACATTTCCTTAAGGGAACACTCACCCTCAGATGTTTACCTGCTTTCTATTGTAACTTGCATGGTCCACGTTATTCCTTATAATTCTTGCATTCTGCTCTGCCTCACTGTTGTGATTGCCTCTGCCCTTCCTGAGTGATATAACTGGGGCAATTTAAATGTTAGCTGAGGTCAAATTAATTTAAAGCAGGGACCCATTAGTGAATGCCAATAGGGGATGACCCCACATTATAAAATAAATTTGCAGATATTTTAAAAGCTTCCCCTGCTGTTGTACTACAGGACAGGCATTAAGGGGTGAGGGAAATTTGAACCAAATATGTTAAACTGGTGTTTTTCCACTCAATCAGGTCTTAACTGTGTCCTGAATTGGATTGCTGTAATTCTGTATTCTGTTTCTATTCAGATGGGCTAGTGAAGAGATTAGAGGAGCTGGAGAGGACTGCAGAGTTATACAAAGGTAAATTGCATCTTCCATCAGACACCAGATGGGAGAGAAGGATGCCTCCGTTATGTTTCAGTGAAGTGACTCAAATGTTTTTTCTGGCTTCCTTCACAGGCTTGACAGAGCACACCAAGAGTCTTCTCAGGGCTTTCTTTGAGCTGTCTCAGACACATAGAGGTAAAGAATCTTGAGCGAAGGGAGCACAAATCTCCGACCTCCCAGTTT